CCTCAGCTGACCACACAGATCAAAGCTGGGGACTGTCATCTCGCAGTTTGGGGTAGAGCAGGGCCAGCCGTTCTCACCTCTGCCCCCCCCCCAGGCCGTTGGTGGGGAGAACAGCTGCTTCCTCTTCCTCCGTGAGAACCCCTCATTCCTTAGCCTCCATCAACACACAGGGCTCCTCAGACACAGCCTCAGTAAGGGTTGTCCAGTCAAGACCCCGACAGCCGGCTGGAGCCTCTTACTATCCAGCCACACACAGAACCAGTGCACTGAACAGCCAAGGCAAGAAGTGATGTCCTTGTGGGACACAAAAGAATATGTAAAGATAACCTTGTTTTCATAGAAAAAGGAAATGAGACAGAAGTTGGCTCTTTTTTTACTGCAGGGAATGTGGTCCTGTTGACTTAAGTTTTAGTTGGAACAGGTATTTACTGAGTCTCCAATATGTTACTGTGCTAGGCACCTTCACCAGAATCTCATTTCTGCCTCATAACAGCGTCAGGAAAAGAGGAAAAGGCCCCGTGACGTCAAGTGACCTATTCAAAGCCACTCAGAACCCAAACTGTCTGCCTCGCAGCCCACAGCTCCTTCCATTATCCCACAGCTTCTTGTCCTAAATGCCCTCAGGAATGTGTCTTCCTCTGAGAGAATGGGGCACGGGTGGATACCAGAATGCAAAGAGATGAAAAGACATGGGCCATGGTTCCCAGGTGTCCTGTAAGATGAGACATCTCCTTCCCCTCCTGCTCAGGGCAGCTTCCTTGACATCCCCTGCACTGAGTACAGGGTCCTGCCGTCAGCTCCATAGCACTCTGCACTTTCCCTTACGGACTATTTCTCACTCTGCTTCGTGATTGCTTCTTTGCTGTCCATCTTCCTTAACCCATATGCTTCTAGAGAGCAAGGACAACTTTTGCTTTGTTCATCATTGACTTCCAGTGCTGGGCACCTCATAGGTACTTAACCAAGATTTACTGAATTCTTGATTCAAACTAAAAATAGAAAAGTGAATGGATGGATGGATGGAGAATGGATAGATGTGGTTTATCATCGTCTCCGAGTTACCGTGTCTCAAATGAAATTGATCTTTCCCTTCCTGACAAGTTAACTTACTTGACTTCCTAGGAAGCATTACCGTCAAAAGACAGTGAGGGCTTTCAATCTTCTAACTTTAAATCTTGGCTCAATCACTTACTAACCAGGGAATGATATGCAATTTATTTACTCTCTGAACCCTAGTGTCCTCATTGTAATGTCATGTAGTGAGGCTTATTGATGACACTTATAATCCCTGGAATGTACTAGAAGGTCTATAAATTGTAGCTTTAATCTTAGCATATATAACAATAGATTAGATCACTTATCCTTATCTTCGGTGCCGCTTGTCTTCCACTCCCTCTCCCGCCCACAATGACCACTGGATGTTTAACCTGGCTTAACTTTCTCCCAAATATCTTCTATGTTTGATTTACCACCGTCACCTCATCTCCCCATTTAACACAGTAGGTTCTAACCAGTTTCTCTGCTTCAGGTTTTTCTTCCCATGCTTCACGCATACCCGTGGTGGCTCTGGAATTCCTATAGAGAAGAGATTTAGTGTGGCTCTCTGACTCTGCACAGAGTGGGGAGGATCAGGGACTTGTCTCGAAGCTGCATATTCATATCACTTTACAAAATGTTGAGGAAATGTAATTGTTTCTAGTAAAGCATGGGGCCGGGGAGCTTGATGGATAAGAAAGTGTACTAAAGCTCTCCACCCTTGGCCAGCCCTTGGAGTCACCTCTGGGCACTGCCAATTTATATCTCTTAAAGGATGGTTCTCATCAAGGTCCATTTTGCTAAAATTTTTTCAGTGAGTCTGGAGAAGGTGTAGAACAAGTTCCAGAATCCTTTGCCTCACATTCAGGACTCTTCACAATTTTGCTGCAGGCTAACTGTTCCAAGACATTTTGCACCAACACCAATTTTTCACTTCATGGATTTCATTCCATTCAATACCCCCTGCATACACTACAGCTACTCCTAACTCCATGTCTTTGTCCAGGAGTGCCCCCCCTCCAGTGGTCCTCCCCAGGTCCTCCCATCTAGTGAAGTTCTCTCCATTCCCCAAAGCCTGGCTCAAGAAGTGTTCTCCCAAAGAACCTTCACAGCCACGCCAGCCTACAGTTCTCCCTCCCTTCCTGGAATTCTCAGTGTTTCTTATTGTCAGGATAATTTATTCTGTCACTTAATTACGTAACTTTTCGTGTTTGTTGTGGAAAGATTTTGAATGTTGATGTTTTCTCTCTCACTGGACTGAGAGGTCCATTTAGGGTAAAGACTGCCGGTACCTTTTTGGATCCCAGCCCAATCAGTGTGGGACACAGCGTAGGTAGGCAATGTGTTTCTGAGTTGTGAGCCATCCCCAGGGGCCCTGGGGCACTCTTCTGGCTCACAGATGCCTAGTAACAGAAAGGGGGCTTCAGATTCAGGGACAGTCATCTCCAGAGACCCAAGGACTCTCCCCAAGGAGTCTATGCGCAATATATACTGGCTATAAGACTTCAGACCTGGGGAAACTGAGTGTTTATGACCCAATCTCAGCAAAAATCATATGAAATTGGCATTTCCTATGCTGGTGACTGACTAACAACTTGGAGCTGAAGCTATCTTGTTATCTTCAGCCTGAGCAATGTGGGTTTAAACACATGTCTGTTTACACCTGCATACATCTGTCTTCATGTGCACACCAGCCCTCACTCAATACATGGTGTCACCAGGTTCATGAGAAAGGCCACCAGCGATGGAGGAGTAGAGATGGGGCTTTAAAACTTTTACAAAAATATCTCTTTTAGAAAGAAATAAAAAGTAGAAATCTGGGGTGAAGTGTATACCAGGATTTTTTGTACTATTTTTGCAACTTTTCTCTAAGTCTGAAAATATATCAAAATATTAAATAAAATTTTAAGACAGAAATGACAAAAAGTCACCTTCTCTGTACAGTTTCCCTCCTACCTTCCTCAGCCTTTAAGGGAATTGACATTTTTCAGCACATTCATATGTGAATTATAGTTATGAATATTTCTATTTCTCCTATTACACAAGAAGTATAAAATGGAAAAAAGTAGTCAGAGACTTTTAAAATGTTTTATTTTTAATAATAATAATACATTAGAATATTAATATTGGAATAGAAGAGTTTTAATATATTGTGATCTGGGGCATGATATTTAACCTCTCTAGGCTATAGTTACCTCATCTTTAAAATGGAATCAAAACTGCCTATCCCTTAGCATTATCATAAGAATTAATAAAACAATAAATATTAAATAATTAATACACTTCCTGGTCCATAGGTGATGCCAAGATATACTAGTTCCAAATGTTTAAGAAATGTCAGTAACCAAGTTCTACTCACTTTGTGTCCTCAACACCTAAAAAAGCATCTGGCACAGAATAGATGCGTAATAAACAGCTATTGAAAAAAGGGTGGGGAGCGAGGAGAGAGGGAAAAAATGCCAGAATTCTGCTCAAGGGACTCTCACAGCTGATCCCAAAGCCCCAAGAGCAGCCCTTGCTTTTGTTACCCCTCTGAAGGACCTGGTGAGAGTGCCGTCACCTCTCCAGGCCTGTGCTTTCCTCACTTATGAGATGGGGTTGGTTTCATTACACCGGAAAAGACTAGCTAATTAGAAAGGACCGTACAGCTCCGGCATCTAAGGCCGCTGGAGCGAGGACTGGACAAACGGGCTTGAAAGTGTGGTGGAGCAGCCTGCCCCGCCGCTGAAGGCTGGCCCCAGCTCCCCTCGCGGGCACGGGTCAGGTCGTGCCTCCGTCTGGCTGAAGCAGCAGCCCCCGCTCCAGGGGCGTCCAGAGCCCGGGCACCAGAGAGTGCAGGTCCAGGCTTTCTCGGAGCCTCAGGACAGTTGAGACCTGAGCGTGGCCGTCGCTGCCCTTTCCTTCGCTAGTCCCCTCCCGCCACCGCCGAGCAGCAGGGTCCTGGTAGACACAACCCCAGGCGCCGACCCGGGAGCTCGCGGGCGGCCCTCCGCAGGCCTCCTTGGCGGGGTCCCTCGCACGGAGGAGGGAATCCGTGCCCTCTGCCTTCTTTTCTGAAAGGAGGTGATGCCTGTTTTGTCCAGGGCCACGTGCAGGGATGTCAGCTCCAGGGCTTCCTAACGGACTCCTTTCCACAGAGTTGTGAACCCCACTCCCCGGGGGGTGGGGGATGGCTTGCTTAGCTCGGCCGGATCCGAGCGCGGGCTGCTGTGATTACCGCCGAGGGAGAAACAGCGAGGGCGAAAGGCCGACGGAAAGGCTGTGGAGCCCAAACAGGCCGTGGAGTCAGGAGCGCCCGACCAGACCCGTTGCTTGACAGTCCACTGTCACTTCCAGGCTGGGCTGTCTGCACGGTGGGTCTGGAGTTTCACCCCGACTAAACGTGGCAGAGAGGGCGGAGGAGAGGAGAAAAGAGGAATGAGGAAGGAAAGGAGAGGAGGGAGGAGGTGAGAGAGGAGAGGCAAGGAGAATGCGAACGCGAGAGAAATGGAGAGAGGACGCGAGAGAAATGGAGAGAGGAGATGCAAGAGGAGAAAGCGCAGATTTGTGCGGAAGCAGTGTGTGTGAGCGAGAAAAGGATGCGAGAGAGAAGTGGAGAGAAGGACGAAGTGAGGACGGAGACCGAGGAGGCTGACAAGGCCTCATCCTCGCTCGTGGCCAAGTGTCCCCGGCTCTCTCCTACAGGGTCGACCCCACACTGAGCGCCGGGCGCGACCACCGGCCTCCGAGCGGCCGCATCCCCTCTTCTCCCTCCCGCCGCCGGCGGAGCCCCGCGGGCCCGACCCCCGCGGCTGCCCGGCCGGCGCCCTGCGCGCCCCGAGCGCTGGGAGGGAGGGAGCAGCGAGCGAGCGAGCAAGGGAGGGAGGGAGGGGCTGCCGGTGGGAGGCAACCATGTGGTTCCAGCTCACTCTATTTTTCCCCCCCTCTCTTTCTTCACTCCTTTTTCTTTCCAAACAGGGAAAAGTGTTCCACGAAGCGGTAGGGTCTTTCTGCCTCGCCTTTTCCTCGCTGACCCGGGTCCCCGCTCCCGTCCGAGTGCCAGCTGGCAGGGCGAGCGCTGGAAGCCCTTCTGCGCCCGTTGCGGGGATCCCGGAGCGGGGCGCGAGGCGCGGGGCCGCTCCCGCGCCGGCACATGGCTGCAGCCGCCCCGCGCACACCCCGAGGCGCCGCGCCCAGCTTGCCCGAGGTCCGTCGGCTGAGCCCGCCCGCCCCGGAGCCAAGCAGCGACTGAGCGGGGAGGAGCCCGCGCCCGGGCATCGGGATGATCCTCCTCGTCCTGCTCGGGCTAGGTGAGTGCCTGGGGAGGGTGGGTGGCCCCGGGCACACACTGTCCCGCACCCGGGCCGCGATACGGGCTCCGAACGGTTGTCCCCGCGGCCCCCGGAGTGAGCCGGACGCCAGTGTCCCTGCCTCCCGGCCAGGGAGGAACACATCTGGCAGCGGAGGGCCGCCCAGTCGGCCATCGAAAACGTCTCGCACATCTGGGCCCTGGAGCAGCCTTGGGCGTTGGGGTGTTTCCTGGTTGAGTTTGGCCGAGAACTGCCTGGTGTGGCGGGTGCTTTTGGGGGTGGTGTTTAGTTTCAGGAGTATCTGGGGAAACTGGAGAATTGGGAGAGGGAAGGTATTATTCAGGAATTTTTGTGCCAGGTTCCTGAGGGTGGGGGGAGCTTTTTCGTTTCAAACAGGCGCCTGGAGGGCGCAGATTAGAAACAGATGTGTTGGAGGGTAAGCGAAAGGGAGTGGGAGAAGACAGGGGGAGAGGAAAGCAGGAGAGGGGAAAGGGCAGAGCCCCAGGAGGACCAGGAAGGTGCAGACAGACTGGGAGGGACGAAGAGGGGAAGGGAAAGGGCTGGGAGGGAGAGAGGAAAGAGGAGAGATGTGAGGCAGAACAGCAAGCCTGAGAGAGACTGATCAAGACAGAGAAAAATGGAGCGGAGGAGAGAATAGAGGGAAACAGGCTCTGGAGCCAAGAGAAGTGCTGCCCCGCGTGTCCCTTCTGGGGACTCCTGAGGCCTCAGAGGCCCTAAGGCATAGACTCACCCGGGCTAGAAGCAGGCAAGTTTACAGGACAGGGCAGGACAGTGCCCATCAAGGATGTGTGGGCAAGAGCTGACAGGAGGGAGATGCACCAGGGCAGGGAAGGCCGACTGGGGAGCTGAAGAAAAGTCATGATAGGCACCAGGGAAGCGTGGGCTACACCTAGAGCCAGGACCGAATGTGAGCCTGAGTTCAGAAAACCAAAGAGCCAGCAGGCGTGGTAAAGTGAGCGCTGCCCTGGAGACAAGGCCAGGTGAGAACTGGTCCCGGTTTCGAACTGACTCGCTGGGTGACCTTGGACCACTTACCCACTACCAGGCCTTCAGCTCCCTTCGCTCCCAAACAAGCAAGTGAGATGGTTCCTAAGTCCCTTCTGGCTCTGACAGCCTTAAACACCAGGAGTTTGTCAGGGACCTAATGGATGGAAAAGCCCCCAAACAAAAGCGAAGAGGCACTAAAAACTCCCTCTGAATTAGATGTCTAGAGCTCTCTGTCTCTCTTTTTGAAACCTTACAAACCAACTAGGCTATATGCATGCCTGCCTAGGCCAGCCTCAGGCCAACAATAACTCTTCACCCAGGTTAGAGGAATAAAAGAGGTGGATTAACCTAAACTATTGCTGAAGTAGGGCAGGTGAGGAGCCACGATTTTCTAAGCTCTTGTACATACCAGCCAAGTATTGCAGTGCTGCTCCTGAGCACAGCTGGCATATCTGGATGGCACCTCTGCTGGCCTCTACCCCTAAGCCACCAACCACCCGATGTCAGTAGGCTCAAACGTCAGAGCAGCCTTATTAAAAGCAGCTGGAACTCATTGAGTACTTATTATGCTGAGCATGTTATATGGGTTATCTTGTTGACTCATTTATTTCACGCCAACCCTATTGGCCACCCGCTATTATTACCCCGATTTTACAGGTGAAGAAAACAAGATGTAAAGAGGTCAGGTAACTTGCTCAAAGCTGTAGGCTCCTAGTTGGCAGAGATAGGATTTGAATGCAGGTTGTTTGCTTGCTAAACCGCCATGTTATAGTCTTCCGGTACCACAGAAGGACTCTTAAAGATGTTCTCTGCATTGAGATCCAGTTCAGTCCTATTCATGGAGCAGGAGATGTCAGCGAGATCCTGCCCCGCGGGAGGAGCCTGGGAAAGGGAAACAAAGCTAAGAGTGTTTGAGCACCTGCTCTACACCAGCCCCGTTTGGGCACAGTTTCTGGTGGAAAGTGACTTTGGCCCGCATGGTCAGTTGAAATCAGCTGGCTTTGATGATGGTCAACATCTGAGTTCATGAGAAAGAGGAACAGACCAAGACATGGATCAAAAGATGTCATTGGTTCCTTAGCCATTTTTTATTGAGTGCCTACTATGTGTATCATTCCTCTGGTGAGAATATCATCGGTTGGGTTGATGTCTTTCTCATAGAAGTTGTCTCTCATGATATCTTTTTTGGGAGGGTTCTGTCTTTATAAAATTGTTACAAACCAAATGCCATGTAGAAGAGAAAAAGTGGACCACTGACTTAGAAATTCTCCATAACTGGATGTTCATCTACTATTCACCTAATAATAGGATGTTCACCTACTATTAAGCTTTTGCCACATCAATGCCCTTGTCATGACATATGACATCCCAGCTCTGAATTGAATAAACTGTTCAAGTAAGAAGTCACAGAGGAGATGAGTTGAAGGGTCAGGACAAGGGACAGGGCAGAAAACCTGAGATGAGGTTGGAGAGCCAGAGACCAGCATTTGAGGGGAGCAACACTGAAGGAACTGAAATCCCTGCATGGGTCAGCAGCCCCTGGGGAACCACTCCTGTGGGCTGGATTAGCCTTATTTGCAAAGTGGTTTTGAGCCCTGGGATGCCTGGACGGGCACTCTTTAGGAAAGCCAGAAAGAAAGCCCTCAGTGTTGCCTGAATCCTAAAATCATCTCCTGCTCCCTGAAAGGAACAGATCCCGCGTGGCTTCTGGCCACTGCTAGCGTGATTTCTGGCCTCTTTTTTCTAGAGAAAGCACAGTATTGAAGGGGAATCAGGAGGGCTAAGTGTTCATAGTCTGAACAAGGATGGGCCAGTTGACTCCTTGCTTCCTGGACCCGCCAGTGAGTGAAATCAAATGTCCTGCCTTTCTGATGTGAATGAAAAGGAATGCTCTGAGCCCCACGGAGGAGAAACAAGGGGGACTTCATGGGTTCCCCCAGCCCCTCCTCTGACCACCACCTCTCCCCTTCCCCTGTTGCTCAGGTCTCATTATCCTACCTGAACTTCTTCCTGGACTTCTGTAATAGCTGCCACGTGGTCTCCTGCCCAAGCTCTCTCTTCCCTTCCTACATACTGCTACCCGAGTAACCTCGTGAAACAGCTGGTATAAGGCAAAGAATTTGGATTAGGAATCTGGCAAGCTCTCTGGGTTCCTTGACTGCAGAATGGGGGTGGAGGGATTTTGAATTCGCATTCTCTCTGATTCCATGATCTTACTCTGCTCTTCCATAAACTTTTAGTAGTCTCCATTGCCTATAATGTCAAGTATAAACACTTCAATCTCATATTAAAGATTTTACACAGTATCATTCACAACTCACCCCCCAACAACTCTCCAAGAAACCTGGATTGCTTCCTGTACTCAAACCATGCCCCATGCTTCTTTCTGGCTCTATGCTTTTGTTTATGATAATCCCTCCACCAAAGATGCCCTCTTACTCTCCACCCTTACGGATTGTTGACCCTCCAGATCAAAATCATGTTCACTCTCCAAGTCTCACCTCAAATACCACTTCCTCCATACACCTGTCCATGATTTCAGCAACGGAATATACTTTTTTCCTTCCTTTGAATCCCAGTAGCCGTTCTATTATGCTACTTTGTATTACAGCGATCTGAATACTTACCCAACACTCCAGTTAGAGTGTAAGGTCCATGCCTCATTCATCTGGGTACCACTTTTAGTACCTAGCAGAAACTAAAAGCTTGTGAACTATCTGTTAAAATAATTGGATATTTGAAACATTTGGAACATTTAAGGTCAAGAGAGGTGAAAGATCTGGAGTATTATTACTCTTTGACTGTGGAACAACACAATTGCGAGGAGCCCAGTTTTAACTGTTTGCTTTTGTGCTGCCTTGTCCATTAATGCAAACAATGAGTACTGTTTTTAAAAAAATTATACATAGAACATTACATGGACAAAGACCAGATAATACATTTGTTATACAAACTTAATATATCAAGTACGTTAGTACCAGACATTAACAATAGAATTCATGGAAACTTTTGCCAGGATGGGGAAGGAGCTTTGTTTCCAAAAAAATGAGTTTGAGGAGTGCTTGAATGCTTGGTCCGCTGGCCTGTAGTTTAATGACGGGTCTCAGCAGGATTCCATGTCCTTCCCTCGTCTTCCCACATTAATGGTGATGGTTATAATATAGATACATTCCCGGTAGGCTCATATCTTGTCTCCTTCGATTTTTATCTTTTGCTCAGCTGGGCAAAGTATACATGAGTATATTTCATAAATGTACCTAATGATGATGAACTAGACAGACATTTTTAAAAGGTAGAATCAAAGATTAGCAGACGTGGGGAAAAGCTAAGACACTATCTAAATCAGTGGTTCTTAAAATTTTGAATCCCAGACCCCTCTGAGAATCCAGTGAAAACCCTGAATCCACTTCTTAGAAAAAGACACATATACATCAGATTTTCCTATAGCTTCTAGGGGTTCATTGACCTCCTGATACCGTTCCTTGGAACCCAATTAAATCCTTGATCTAAACCTACCCCTTCTTTTATGATGAGGAAAGAACCAAATTTCAGAGAGATTTGGCTAAAGTTAAACAGGTAGCTTAGTAGAAGGGCCAAGACAAGACCCCCTAGCTCCATAATCTGTCCTATCACACATTCTCGAAGTGGAAAACCTCTCTCCCTCCTTTTCAGCTCATGTAGTTCAGCTCTTCAGACGCTTCAGTTAAATGTAGTCAGTGCTGAATAATTGCCGTTGGTTTTATGTTGAGAAATTGTCTGAAAAATAGGGCCGATGTCATAACATTTCAGTTTAGCCATCGTAACTAGAAATCCTGGAAACTTCTGCAGTGCCTTGTATAATGTCTGGTATATTCAGGAAAAAGGGATTATACCCAGAGTCCTAAAGATGTAGGTGTGCCTACAAGGAATAGAATGGGAAATCAATAGCTCTAGCTCCTTCATAATTTTGCTGGGTCATTCTGGGCAAGTCATTATCCTGAGCCGCAATTTCT